AATGGTGCGAGAAGTGCGAAGTTCGCGAAATAATTCTTGGTGAACCTATTGAATGGTTTAAGTCATTTTGAGTTTTTATGTTGGATCAAATTTTTCATCGTAGCTCAATCCATTCTCCCGTAACTTTCATCGAGCGAGAACAGGCTACACTTTCTCGCGCAGAACAATTTTTCTCATCGATGTTAGTACAAATATTTCTATGAAAAATGTTGAAACAATAATATTTCATATTATAAACCAAACTCATAGTAAAATAAAAAATTTAAAAAAAGAAAATAAATTTATGAATATATATTATTATAAATTTATAAATATATTCTATATATTACATATATATAATATTAAATATATTATAGATGTATATTAGATGTATTATATTTATGAAGAATTCTATTTATATTATATTTATATTATATCTAGAATAAAGTATTAAATATTTTAATCTTCGATTTGTTTTTTTTTGACGTGCTTTAAGGACACGTAGTCTTTTCTTGCCCTTTGTATCTTGAACAAGTAAGTTCTTTGCTAACTATTTTTTTTTGTTTTGTGGTTATTTAAAATTACACGTATCATAAATCAGGATATAAATCAGATTATATAAAAGCATTGATTACATTTCAAAATCATACATTCAAACAATGAATTTCCTTTCTATGAGCAACCTGAATGGCATAAACAATCCGAGGATATTCAATATCAATTATATAATTAATTTACGTGGCGTGAATAGAACGCACCCTTCCGCCCGTACGAAATCTACCACCGGTCGAATGTCGACAATATGCTGTTCGCTTTTCGGTGTACAATGGCTTTTAAAAATAATTTATTGAATTCGAAATCCAATCGGTCGACGTAGTAAATTATTGAAACGCGCAGAACTATTTTAATTTTCTCGCGCGTATTTTGATAGATATATCGAAACAATTTAGCTAACGCTCTAATGGATTCGTATTGTCGAAGGTACTATCTTTGGATAAAAAAATTATTCGATCGAACATTTAAATCATCGGCATGATCGCGTACCAATATTCATGAAATTCATTCTGCATGATTTTGTATGAACAAAATACACACAATGCGCGTGTTACATAGTTCAGCTACGCACGGACAACCGGTAGCGTGTAAAAATAAATTCTGAAACTTTCTTCATGAACATTAAAGTATCCGCGACACTCACTTATTGCAACTTTACAAGCTGAAAAATAGAGAATTTTTTAATTCAAATTCATTAGGGAAGTATTTTTCTTTTGTTTCCTCCGAAATATTTATTTATAAATAATTCGAATAACTAATGTAAATTTATATACGTAATATATGTATATATTATATAACGATCGATATGAAAACGATCGATAAAAAAATTTTCAGTTCTTTCTCAAGAGATATAGTAGTAATAAATATCAATAATTATAATCATACTTTACATTTTTAATTTTTTTTATTTTAATAAAATTTACAAAAAAAATTGTTATATTAATTTTTTAATAAAAAATAAAAATTTTATGAAGGATTATAATGCTATTTGAAAATAGACATAAATATGAGGAACAGGTCCAGTACAGCAAAGCTACAGCACTGGGTGCCGTGCCGTCGTGCTAGAGTGCAGGTAGGCCGATGTCCAACGGAAACAGCCGAGCGCACGCTCGGGGGAAAACCGAGCGGCGGCACTCGACGAGTATGTTAGAGTATTCAGTAATGCTTTGACCAGCTAGTCAGTGGACTTGTTGGTGAGAGTCGGTCGTTTACTCGAAGTGATCGTGTGGTGTTACTTGACCAGATAGTCAGGCGGTATTCTAAAACACGACGTACAAGCAAACAGCGACAAATACAGCTACAAACGTGAGTGCATTTCGTGAGACTGTGAGAAAGAAAACGAACAGAGCGTTTCACGGAGCGCACACCGACGGTGGAGCTTCGATTTCACGTACTGTTTTTTCACTGAAAACAAAAAACCATAGCGCTATACTGTGTATGGTACACGAGCGATCCAAGATGCTGTCGTCAGTGCCAGCGAAATAATAATGTGGTGCGACGTTAGTCAGGTGAGTGAAAAGTGCTACGTCAGTTTCTTTTTCTTTACAATTTTTTTTTCTTTTCGAAAACTGTGTCCAGTCTGTGTTTGCCTATCTCTAACGTTCTTGTATGGCCAGCCAAGAGAGCGTTATGTGATCACGACACCACAGTACGAGGTGGTTGTGTGTCATTCGCTGTGAAAATTTCAAACTTTGTTTCGGTTCTTGAGTTCGGTGTTCATACGCGAAAGGACTTTTCTCGTTTTTTGCGACGTTTTTCAGCCATCAAATAATTTTGTGTCTCGATCGTGCTAATACAAGTGTTTCAGTGTGTGGATTTTTTTAGCGTCAATGGATACCTGGAATATATGATTATATGTATCACTTCGAAGTACCGAAGAGAATGTTCCATTTTGAAACAACAAACGCAATTTGCTTGAAAATAAATTAATCTCTTATAACGCCTTGAAAGGCTGGCTCGCATGAACGATAGAAAAGGCAATGAATCTTGTGGAGACATTTTTATGATCTTCTTGTACCATCGAATTGGTCATCGTATGATATAATTCGAATATTGCATGGATTAAATAAACTCGTATCTCAGAATTCTAAACACATCCGTCGGTTAAGAATCGCTGAATCTTTTAAGTATTTGTTCAAGTTCGTTCGAAAGTGCTAAAAAAAAATCATAAACAAAAGCTCGTTTATTCTTTTTCATCTATCGATCTTGGAAGTTAGGGCAAAAGAGTGTCATGGATTTTTCATATCATGTTCCATCGTCTCTTTCGATAAGCGAATTTTTAGGAAACGATAACCACGATCTGAAAGTTGGCGAATTTTTACATCATCGACGGTGTTTTCAGTACCGCGTAGAAAATGATATAGCGTCGTATCAACGTCGTGCCGAAGTGTCAGATTTGACGCGTGGTAACCTCGTGTTCAGTAGTTTGAATTCGAAGCGATCCCGCGTTTCCTTGGGCTTGGGGACGAGGGGCAAAGGGAGGGAGAGGGTAGAGGCGGCAGCAGCAGCAAGAGGTGGAGGAGGTAGGACGGCGGCCGCGGCTGGGTGGCGTTGTTGGAGTGGCGAGGAGATGGTCGAGGTGGCTGTGGTAACGAAGGTGGGTCGTGGGTCGCTGGTTGGAGGGGGGGAACATAACGAACGAGAGAGAAGAAACGAGATAGAGGAAGAAGAAGCGATAGAGAAAGAATAAGAACACGAAAGAGAGAGATGAGAATATATGTACGATATGAAAGACGAGGAAAGAATTCTCGATAAAGAGAGAACGAGATAGAGAAAGGTGACCGGAGGCTCCGAGGCTGCTTCTTCTTTACTTGGCCAACGCTGTAGAGGAAACCTAGCATCGCCTGTGCGCCATGAGGAGAAGGGTACGATGTTCACTAAGTGATGAGGAGGGGGCATAGTTATGACCAACCATCAAGGGGGCAACGTCGTCATGGTTACCACGACGACAACAACCCGATTCTGTTCTAAGGGATGTTTTTAAAAGCATATATTTGCCTTTGCTCTTTTTTTTCTCGCCGATTGCGTGGAGGCGATAGGAACGACTTTTTTTCTATTTTCCATTCGCTGAATGATGGCCCCATTTTATTAGATCAACCAGTTGCAATCGTGCTTTGTGACTATATACATTACGTGTTTAATGAAATAGAAATTTAAAGAATACATATAATTATAATTAATTGTGTAAAACTTATACTTTAATCTTTTCATCGGTATAAATTATAATTAGAAATATAACAATATATATATATATAGTTATACAATATATATCTCAGTGGTAAACTCGTTTATTCTTCAGATTATGAATATGTTCAAAATGTTTTATACCAGTGAAATGTATGATAGGTGTTGTATTTCGAGAAATAGTAGCATTCGCATGATGATTGTATCCGACGGTGACAGAACCAATCGAATCTGTGACTCGAATATTTCCATCCACCATTATTCCATAATCGTTTTACGAAATATTGTTATAAAAGAAAGTGCGTTGCAAGAGGACGTTTTGGATACAAGTGTACGATTAGACATCTTGGCGAAGTTTTTTCGTAAATTTATTTTTTTCATATCTAAAGAATAACTTCTTTATCTTGTACTTAAGATACTTCTTCAAGATACTTCTATCAAGTTTCGATAATGAATTTATTATGAGAAAATATAAGAATATCTCATAATATACTATAATTTAATTATTTTTTATATTATTCACTGATGTTTCATGATTTACAACATATAGAATCAAGAGTAGTTCGAATGTATCCGACGGATAGTATTACGCGACAGCATTGCCAACCAATTGAATCGAAATGATGATTTTACATATCTAATTTTTTTATATTTTCGTAAATGTTCCTATCACGACGAATTTTTAATAATAGAAAGGAAGGTTTTCAATAGAACAGTAGATATCTCTGCTAGTGACAGATAGTGCTTGGTACTGTTATTTATATAAGTGGGATATTTTCTTCCGATACGGTTGATTGATCGATTCGCATAATCTTATTGATAGATATGATCAAGAAATTGATTATTTATTTATAATACTTTTATTTATTTTATTATGGAATTATTTATTATTTCTAATATGGAAATAAAATTTATTCAATCTATTTTTATTTTTTTACAATTTTCAAAAAGAATTTTTTGTATTATAATCAGATCAATTTTAATAACTTTAAGAGAAATTTCAAAATTTTAAGTCATTTTACACTATCATTTATCTTTATTTTCTTTTAGAGATTTTGAACAGAGATTTTGATTATTATATTTCTACAAACCAATTCAAGATAAAGTAATGATTTTCTCCGAGATCACTTTACAAAGTCCAAAAAAAGAAAATTGTTTATTTTCTTTAAACAAATACTGTATGCACATATTGAACATTGAGGTTAATTAACTAATTAATTAACTAAAATTTTATATTCTATGGAATATTTTCAATAATCTTTATCAAATCAAATGAAAACACATTCCTCAAATGGTGAACATATAATAATTAACAATCAATTCTTCTTTCATCCATAATTATAGCTATATCAAATTCTCTTCTATATATCTACTAGACTCTACTCTGAACGACATTATTCATCCGAATACTCTCAGATAATATTTGTCAGGAAACTTCACACCATTCAAGAAAAGTTCATCCAGATGTAAGCAATTCAGAGAGGCAGGCAGATCCATATCTTCGTGTAACATTTTTCATCGGATAAAGGACAAAAACTGAAGGTGGTTGTAAGTTGAAGAACGGCGTGTGCCGCGAACAGTAGCGGTGTAACCCTCCTTGGTCGGTCTGGCCTCCAGCAGTTCCTCCTCCTCCGTCTCGTCGTCCTCCTGCGGCGCATCGAGCCGCTCACCCACCATCACGGGCCATTAACGAGAGAGTTATCGACGCGCGATCTGTCAATAGGCTTCTCCCATTCATAAATTCGCCCGGCGTGTGGCGGCTGCATAGTTTTGCCGCGAAAACCACGTGGCAGCGGTAGCGCG